TTTTAAGACCCCAGACGCTACTCACCAAGGTAGAATGTAGAACATTGTCTTTATAAACTGTGTTATGCCAATTGAGCTACATGTTCCCCGAGACCATGGCCCCCACAAGGGCTATAATCTTTATGGAAGCAGACTGCCACATCTTTTGCCTGCAGAATGGCTTGTGGGTTCGAACTGTTGACCTTTGGGTTAGCAGCCAAGTGCTTTAACCACTGCACCACCAGGGTTCCCTAAAAATGGCTCAAGCTACATACTATAAATTTATATTTTCAAAGTCAAAAGTCTGTTTTAATCCATGATACCAAAAAAAAATTAAAAATCTTAAAGACACGTAAGAGTCATCCATTAAAGGAAAAGTTGTGAACAGCTTTGGCATCAAAAATTATTTCATCCTCTCCAAGACGTGCTCACGGTCCAAGCAAAATTGTGAAAATTAAGTACTCTGTCTTGGACTGACACCCAGCTACGCTTTCTGCAATTTTTCCCTTTCAAGTTCCTATGCACCAGCATATGCCCATCAAACATAACCATCCCCTATGATGGGGGAATGGAGGGGGTGGATTCTAGCAATTTAGGGACATTCATTCAATTTATGTATTTGTGATTTATTAGGAGACTCACAAAGGGAATTAGGATTGTAAACTGGGAGTGGGGGTAGGGGGAACAGACAATGCTTAAACCCAAAGAACAAATCGCTGCTGACAAATTTTCAGGCATAGGGTGATAGAAATACTGGGGGTAGGTAGACTTAGCAGAGTGATAAGAACTCTGTGCCTGCAACAGTCCCAGCATGGATACCCAATCACTGAGACGCCACTGGGCCTCTCTAAACTTTGGTTTCCTCACCCGTAAGGAGAGAACTAGAAGAGACATTCTTCAAGGACCCTCACAGCCCCAACACACTCCTTCTGAGGACTTGCTGGTGATTATGGGCCCACAGAGGGCATATTTTGAAAGGTGACAAATGAAGTAACTCATTTTCATTGTGAACAGAACTGGTGGGAAATCTACTTTTTCCCTTCCTAAATGCTCCATGATCATCAGATGATAATTTCTCTTTATTATGCCTTTTCAAATCCATTTTATGAATTATAGATTATAGAATATTTCCACTCTAACTTTGAAATCAACATTTGGTAACTACAAAAAGTAGCATAAAGAAACACAAGTTTTGTTTTTGCCCCAATCAATTTCACTTCTGAGAAATTGACTATTTTTTTTCTCCTAGTGGTTAAGAGCTATGGCTGCTAACCAAAAGGTTGACAGTGTGAATCCACCAGCTGCTCCCTGGAAACCCTATGGGGTAGTTCTACTCTGTCCTATAGGGTCACTATAAGTCGGAATCGACTCGATGGCAACGGTTTTGTTCTGTTTTTGTTTTTTTAAATCTATTTATTCAGGTTATATGTATTTTAAAACTTCAGAAAAAAGAAAGAAAATACAAAAGGTCACAATTCTCTAAATAGAGAAAAACACAATTAACACTATCATTTACAGCTTTTCATATTTTTCTATGCATATTCAGTCATTCACTCATATTTTCTATATCTCTTTAATGCATCCTGGACATCTTTCTATGTCAGTGAGTTCAGATCTATACAATCATTTTTAATACATAAATAGTATTCAATTGAATGGATATACCATATTAAACCAAATCCTCACTTAAGCTGTTTCCAATTTTTCAATAAATAAGCAATACTACAGTAAACATCGCTGTACATACATCTTTGTGCACTTGTCTGATAATTCCCTTAAATTCCCAAAGACAGAATTGCTGAATGAAAGAGTATACATAGTATTTATTGACAAACTCCTTCCAGAAATTCATATTCTCACCACAGAATCTCTCAACACTGGTTATATTTAATGGGCTGATAAAAATATGTTATTTTTCTTTTAGTTTTGCTTTTTTTTAATGACCATTGGAGCTGAACATCCTTTCAAATGTTTGTTGGCCATATATTTTTCTTCTTTAGTGCCTTTTTAAAAATTATCAGTTAGATCTTTTTCATTTGTGAAAGCTCTTTATAGCCATTTGCTTATCATATAAATTCCAAATGTTTTTTCTGATACAGAAATTTTTCAGTTATGTAGTCAAATTGACCCATTTTTCTCCTCTTTGTGGTTGCTACTTTTGATGTCATCAATATGAAGGCCATCCTGTAAGTGCAAGCTTATAAAAATATTCACCTGTATTCTCTCCTTTATCTATGGCTTCAGTTTTTACATTTTACATTTGTCTTTAACCCATGCTATTTTGCTTCTAGGAATCTACCATTTGAAAGTAATTTTTTAAAACTGTGGCAAAGATAACCTGTATCATGATGTTCACTGTAACATTGTTTAAAATAGCAAGGGATTCAGAGCAAGGGATCTCAAACAATAAAAACTTGTTAAGGAAATTATGGCAGTATTTATTCTATGATTACCATAATTATGTCTCTAAGACATTTTTAATGCCCAAAATGCTTCTTATAGTTTTGAGGGAAAACAGCAGGATACAAAATTAATTGTGCATACAATGTGATTATATTTACATTAAAAATCTGGATATAACACCCACGTTCACTGCAGCATTATTCACAATAGCAAAAAGATGGACACAACCTAAATGCCCATCAACAGAGGAATGGAAAAACAAACTGTGGTACATACACACAATGGAATACTATGCAATGATAAAGAACAATGATGAATCTACAAAACATCTCA